CAGCAGAAAAAGATCTTTTTCTCCCCATCTTGAGATTCTAAAATTACAGTCCTGGCTAATTTTGTAGATCATGTTAATGGATATGATCTACAAAGATTTAGGAGAGTTCTAAATCTGGAAGGATTTTGCAGGATGAGCCTCAGTTCATTGCTCATAGGTTGTAATTGGTTTTTATCATGCATCTCCCCTTTCTGTAGAATAGGTAACCACTCAAAATTAGAACATTTATTTCGCTGACAGTCTTCTAATGTTATTTATCCTTTCTGAATATACATTTTGAGCAGGTGTCTGTAGTATCAAAGATTTCTGCCTTTCTGTAGGCCTGCTTTTGCAAGGCTCTGAGTGTTCTCGATCCCCACTGAGCTGGAAATCGAGTTAATTCAATATTTCCTTGGGTCAAGGTGAGAAAGGAGGGCTTTACCTGCAGAAAAACAGCAATGTAAAACCGTTAGGCTATTTTGCCCACAGGATCTAGTCTGAATTCTTTTTATTACAGGATTACTGGGCATGGAACCTGAACATGTGGTAGCCTGCCAGTGGTTAAATTGAAGCTCACTGATGCTCACATCCCTGCCTCTCTGCCCACCACTGAATGTGGGACTTTTGGTTGCTGTTGGTGACTCAAACTGGCAGTAGGGGACAAGTTGGGGGAGAGGTGAAGCAAGAAGTAGTGTTCACCCCTGGGTTTCAGACCAATGCCAATACAGTGGCTCCTGCAGCTGTGCTGACAAACCACTACTGGAGGTGGGCCATCTGGCCTGTGAGAAGCCTCAGGTTCTGGATCCAGCTCACAGGACTAAATGGGTTAGACACTCCCGATTCAGAACAAAATTGCTTCTGAATAGATTGCAGACAAGTTTGCAGATGCTATGACTGACTGAGCTATATTTTTTAGCTACCAAATTGAAGACATGAAAGACTTGACTTACAGGGAACCACAGCTTGCAGATGCTTTCTGAATAAATTACTCTTTGCCTTGGCAATGTCTTATTGATCCCTCCATGTGCTTAAGAGCAGTGCTTTATAGATGGCTTTTGATAAGCAACCACAAGTTTAAGGAGAATAAAGTGATTTCTTTCTATTTTTAAGGCTCTGAAGTATCTCTTACCCCCCCTACAAGCATGCCCTAGCCCCCAGACTAGAGGCTAGTTTGAGTGGGAGGACTATCCACCCCTCTTGTTGAAGCAGTGTAGCAAAATGTGAAAGATTCATTGGCATAGAGAGGGGATTGTGTCTCTGTTACCTGTAGGGTGACTACCCATCCTTTATTAGGCGGGACAGTCCCGAAATGTAAACATCAAAGTCCCGGTCCCAGGCTGAATGACTCCAAGACAGCATTTGTTCCAGACTCCCCTCAACACAGTCTCAACATAGCAACTATCATCCCAGTATCATAAGCATGGATCTGGGTTTTCTGTTTGCCATGGAAAAAAGTGGATTTTCTCCTCTGAAGGTTTCCCCTTGCAGGTTGACAGAGTTCCAGCCTGCAGGGGGCTGCTTGGGGCTGGGGAGGACTGGGACACAGGGGATGCGACATGCATGTGTGTGTATGTACACATGCTCACGTCCAGCAATTCATCCAGGCTGCAGTGGAGAGCAGTTCCCCCAGCTGCCTTCAGGTAAATCTATGGAGGGACGGGGCATAGGTGATGTGGCAATGGGGGCAGCTTGAGGCCCCCAAGGTGCGGGAGGGAGGGGCAGAGTTGGTGGCTGGGACTGGGAGCTCTACCCAGCTGGGGTGGTGCATGGGGCCTAGGACCAGGGCAGGAATGTGTAGCTGCAGGTCCTGGCCAGGGAGCAGGACAGAGCCATAGGTGACTCATCTGGAGGGCAGTGTGGGGGCTGACTCTCCACCACTTCATATACTCCCAGGGCAGGGGGCATAGGAGAGCTTGTGCCCCACACCTGATGTGTGTGTGGGGCACAGGCAGATGCAGGCTGCCTGCTGTGGGCTTGGGGCTCCCCATCCTGCTGCCCTCCCCCAGTGGGTGAGACCCAGTACAGGAGGGCAGTGTGGAGCGGGGAGGCTCGATGTCCTAATTTTGCATTTTGAAAAGGTTGTTGTTAGAACATTTACCTATTTAAGGCACGAGTCCTAGATCCTGGTTTCTGCTGCCACAATGGTTCATGCATTTTATAGTCAGTCACTGAATAAAATATGGAAATATTTCAGGGAGCAGGGGCCAGACCCCATCTCAGCCACTCCTAAACATGAGGCTACAGAGATCCTCTGTGACTCCTTCCTGGCCCCACACATCTAGAAATCTTTGCCACACAGTAACACAGCTTCAACTAAAGCTGAGAGTGTTCCCAACCTGATTAACCTATAGCCTGGTTCTTAGGACTCTCTCCTGGGAGGTGAACTGTGTAGATTTGAATACCCTCAGACTAAGAGCCTAGGATCCAGACCTCACAATTTCTGGGCGAGTATAATTGCTGTCTAGTGGGTGAGCAGTCATTCACTTCTAAAGTGGACAATTTAGGTGTCCAACTCCAAGAGATTGTTCCAGGTTGCAAATCCCAACCTGACATAGTTGTCCAAACACCAGAGAGGCTTGGGATTTAAGACACCTCTCTCTTTCTCAAGCATTTCCTACTGGCTTGCTACCAGCTTGGCGTGCTGACTGTTGCGAATTCTATTGAAACACCTTCCTCCCCACATGCACCATATAGTAAGCTGCAATACTAACCCAGTGGTGTTGACTGTTCCAGGGACCAGTATTTAAAAAATAAGTGGTGACACACATATCCCTTTACGGATCTAACTCTCAGTGCATACCCTGAACAGGGAACCAAGTTGGCTACATACAATAGGACTCAACATCCCAAGCACTCAGTTGAGCCCTCCTCTCCACAAAATCATGAAGTAACAATAATGTCAGGGTTGCTGTAGTTTATGCCAGTCTATCACTACCAAAGAAGCAATTATGCAGGTGAGCCACTGCTACTAGGCAGCATATGCTGACCAGTATGCCTCCTCCTTGCAATCTACTCCCTGTTCCTGAGGAAGCTGAGTGGTTAGTCAGACCCTCAGTTGCCTGGTTAGGGCAGCTTTTGGCCACCAGCGTTAGCCCAAAGCTACTTTATTCAAGGTTAGGGATAATCCTTGCTTAACAAAAGTAATGTGTAGTAGCAGAGTTTCAGATTATATTAGATTTAGTCTTCAGTCCATTTAAATGATCTGAAAAGTAAGTCACTCTTCCTGCTATCAGTAGAGTTGTGAAATTTGAGATTATATTTTTTTTCTTAAGACTCATTCATTCTTTGCAAACAAGTGTCCTTCTACTATTATTATGGAAATGTTGGCTGTATGCCAAAAGTAACCTCCCAACAGAGTTAGGACATCTTTGAGTAGAGTTAGGACATCTTTGTGCTCAATGCCAGCATCTGCTTGGCTGAATGCCAAACTTTCAATTGAACTCAATCATAGGGTCTACAGATTAAGTTCACTCCTCTCGGTCACTGCAGATTTGTGCTTTATCTTGGCAAGTTTGAAGAGAAGTTGGACAGACTACTACAGAGTCTTATGCCACGTCTCCTTCCTGTATGCCAGCTGCTTAGCAAAGTGCAAATTTAAACTGGTTCAGTTAATATTAGAGGCTGCAGACAGAAGCGCAGCTGTGAGCTGTAACTCGGAATGAGTTTTGCAAAGCATTTTGAGTTATAGCACTACCCCTATCCCAGACCAAACAGAAGTTCACTATTGGTTCCAGTGGGGGCCTGCAGCCAGGTTCCCACAGTAACCGCCAGGGCTCTCTGCCAAACACGAGTGCATGGGTGCAGACAGCTTCAGGTGAAAATCTGACTCTCCCCATTGAATGAGGTATCAGATAAAGATGTTTCAAAATGCATCATCTTTTGTAACTTGTCTGCCCTGCCTCCCAGCCTGTCACTGTTTTCCTCATGCAACGAGGGGTCAGATTTTCACTGGAAGCTGTCTGCAGCTGCGCACTTGTGTTTGGCCACAGCTATAAACTGCTTTCTGGCGTCAGATCAGGCAAAAATTATTACTTCTGTCTGCACCCAGAATCCAACCCTAGTTGTTTTTTCCCCCCTTTTTTTCTAAACAGTCCTTATGGCAAGGTGCATTTTGCTGGTTATCATTGGCAACTGGTGCCCCCCGCAGCTAACTGCACCAGTTGGGAGGCAGCCGCTGTGCTCCCAGAAGTGACTGCGGCGCTTCATCCAGTGCTCCTACTCCCCGGCGGACACTTGCGGGGGTGGGGGGGGCACCGGAACTCTTGCCTGCCTGTCGCCCAAGCAGGGAGTGCGGCCGTCATGGGGTACATGCCCTACATGTCACCTCTGCTGGTTATGAGCAGCTGACCCTGTTGAAAGTTAATAACCTGCCAGGTGAATTCCTTCACAGCTGGCAGGAGATGCTCTTTGCCATCTCCTCCCAACTCCAGGTCCTTGCAGCCATCTGCCTCTTCCACAACGTACCTGCTTTTGAACCGATCACGATTAACCAGTGCATTTGGGGGGCTGGGCTAGCCATTTTATCCTGTGACAATTACTTTTGCACCCGTGGCTGCTTTAAACTTATCCCGTGATGAACCTGACTTGCGTAATACCGACCACACATTACATTTATCACGTGACTGACTGGGGAACCAGGCAGTACGTTTAGACCGGCCACAGGTGCAAAGCAATGGGCAAAGGATAAATAAAAAAACCCACCCTAGCCCAACCCCCCACCAAAAGAGCCGCTGAAGGGGTGACGAGGGCTTTGCGGGTGTAAAATAAACACAGTTATTGCGCGACTGAGCAGCTAGCTACGTTATGTAGGTGAGGTTTAGCAGGAGCTTGAGGGCGGAGGCAGGGAGGGAGCAGCACACGGAACCGGCCGACTAGGCTGCACTGCCCCGCCACGGCCACGGGGACAGTTGGAAGCATCCCAGAGCAACACCTTCCGTCACCTCCGGACAATGGCACCTCCCACTTGGGCGGGGAGGGGGCGTGGCCCCTGGTTCCGGCCCCACCCTCCCCTTCCTCCGCCTGCAGCGCTGTGTGCATGCGCGCTGGCCCGGCGCCGGCGCAGTGGCGAGGGAAGGAAGTGGCGCCGGAAGCGGGATGGCGGCGGCGATGGGGCAGCAGTGGGTGCTGGTGGAGATGGTGCAGGCGTTCTACGAGGTGAGCGACCCCTCCGCCCGGGGCACGCGGCGTCGGCCCCCCCCTCCCCCCACGCGCCCGTCTGGGGCGGGGGGG